TGGTAAGAGTAGAATTTGGTTTACTTGTTTTCTCTTAACTTGTAAAGCTCCTCGGTAACTTATTACATAGTTGAATTATTCCATCTGCCCCCAAGAGAGTATAGAAAGTTCTATACACAAGATTCACCATGCCAGTCCTGTCCTCCAAGCCCAGATGTGTATCACCACATGAGGAGCCTGAATGCATCAACAAGCAGGTGCGAATGACTCAGAGGTGTGCCATTCACATCATAAGAGGCATTTCCTGGGGTTCAGAGTGAGTCAGAAGTTCAGTTATTAGTAACAGAAGTGGTTATTTAAATGTATGATTTCATCCTAATTAAAGCTAATGGGAGAGAGAATTTGCATTTAGCTGCCTAGAAAATAGCTCTGCTATTTCACTTTTAGTATCCGAAAGACATTAACAACATGAGGAGTTTTTCAAGGCAGGAGGGGAGGGAGATCAAGATGGTGGGTTGCTACTCTAACACCCCAATGGTTGGTTTCATACCATATTCTTTTCACTTAGAGCTTTGTAACAACCTCCACCTTCCTTACCACCTAGTCTAGAACCTAGTAAAACATTTCATCTTAGAAAGCTAACAGTCCCATATACCTAAGAAAACTACCCAGGGACACCAGAGAACATCATGAATGCACATTAATAACTGTGGGATATCTGATTAGAAGAATGCAAAATAGGAAGCCATTAATAGCAATCCTCACCTCCCTCCTCTACACTGATTACCAAAAGAACAGCAGCAGCTGAATCACAGCTAAATCCTATTCACAAGGGACCCCAGGCAACAAAGAGGAAAAACCATTACAATGGTGCTTCTCAGGAGGAAGCTGCTTTAAGTCATTTTGATTCAGGCATCAATCATGCCTGCCACAAACCAGTAAGCAGGTATAACACAAGCAAGGATTCCTGTCCTTCCTTCCCTACTAGCACACTTAATTGCCCTGCCTACTAAACTGCCACTTCCATGGCCTCCAGAGGAACCCATCTCTCTCCAAATACACACATCACCAGCTTCAATGTTTACCCTGAGAGCACAAGCAACATCAGCCTGGAGAAAAGTTGCTGGCCACCTGGCTGCCAGCTCCCACTCTAAGTGGAAATGGGCTAACCCCTAAATTGACAGAATGCTTTACTTTCTAGTGCCTCAGTTTCTATATCTATCAGACTGTCAGTCCCCTTCTATTATAAACCATCAAATTCAGATAAAACAGTAGGATCAGCACCAAATACAAGTGAAGTGTTCCCTGCTTGGGAACATGAATGCACAAGCATATTCAACTGCTGTACTTACATACAAGAAGTGAACAAGACATGAAAACAAGGGAAGAGTGAGAAGAAGAAGAAGAAAAAAAACCTAGGATCCATGAATGTGACTGAGACATGGAGACTTGAATTTCACAGTTATCACCTAAAATTCTTTTCATGGTAGTGTGCATTGGCCAGCTAGTCTAGCTGAAAAGCTAAACTCCAGGTTCAATAAGCGATCCTGTCTCAAAAAAGGTGAGGAGCAAAAGAAGTAGATATTCAACACACCCTAATTTCCACAGTAACTGCAGGTGCACTCTGACATACACATGTATACAACACACACACACACACACACACACACACACACACACACACACACACACACACACACACACGTCTCTGTAAGGAACTTTCCTCCGCCTTTAATCCACAGAACTGTTCCCTTCAAAGGCACAGCTTCCTCTTCTATCTTGGAACCTCAACAAAAGAAATTAGTTGAGATTCCTCAATCTTGGTTCTTTTACATTGATAAAGGATCTGTGGATTCCCCCAACTTTCCGAAAGTCAAAAGAAAACTGATTGGAGAAAGCCTATCTTCCAATTTTGCTTTAACATAATATATCTGTTTTAAGATTGTCTCTGGAAGGCTGGAGAGGTGGTTAAGCACTGGCTGCTCTTCCAGAGGTCCTGAGTTCAATTCCCAGCAACTATGTGGTGGCTCACAACTACCTGAAATGAGATCTGGTGCTCTCTTCTGGCCGGCAGGCATAAGAACACTGTATACATAATAAATAAATCTTTTTAAAAAAATTATCTCTGGATATAATTAGTAATGTGCTGTCAATAAGGAGTGTAGCTATTGACAATACCTGTTGCAATTTAATTTTAAACATCAATAGTTGCTTTGAGCTTGCTGTAACAAGACTTTCATTCATGGCAAGTAAACATGCAAAGACAACAAGATCAAGCCAGAAGATTGAAAAAGATCTAAGTGGTCTGCATGAGGGACTCTTTTTCAAATGTCCCATGGGGGCTGTGATGGCTATGAGCATAGCAGCCCTCCTCTTCCAGAAACAGTAAACAGCCATGTTACTATCAATCCCCTTCTCAAGTAAAGTTCACTGTTCCTAATAGGACATGGGTATGAAGAGTGGGCCAGAGTTCAGAGACAATCTAACTTGGGCAAGAATGATGATCTAAGCCTTCAGAATACACATGGTGACCCCACCTGGCTTCTACTAGCCAGGTGGCCCTGAGCAATATATTCCACATTTCTTTGCCTCAGTTTATTCATCTATACTAGTGGATGTTTTCTAAAGGTTTTTTTTTTTTTTTAAAGATTGTATTGTGTGGGCGCACTTGTACTTGTGCGTGCCCCCACATGCACAAGTTCAGTTACCTGAGCTCGCCAGAAGGCACTCAATCCCTGAAACTTGAGTTACAGGTGATTGTAAGCTGCCCTATGCAGGTGTTGGTTCTCTGCAGTATAACATGTTTTAACCTCTGAGCCTTCTTTCCAGGCCCATTAATAGGGTGACTGGAAGAAGTCCATAAACAAGCATGTGCAAAGACTTAATGCAATTCTGGAACCTTAATACCCCACTCAATAAATGGTTCCTGCTGTCCAGGAAGGGGGGGTTTCCAGGGCACCTAGGGCTACATAGAGAAACCCTGTCTTGAAAAACCAAAAACCAAAACACCCTCACCTATTTACACAATTGTGCAAGGTCAACAATTCAAGTAGTTAATGTTGACAGCCCATGGAGAAGCTGAGGAGAAACAGAATATGAAGCAAAGTAGAAACGTGTTTTTGTTGTCTGAGAAGCAATTGGATTCAAGTATGGAACATACCTAACGCCGTCAGATCTTTATGAACCTCAACCTCGCAAGCACTGGGTGAGAAACCCAAGGCCGTGTGCATGCTAGGCAAGCATCTACCGACGACAAGGTGGATTTCTGTATGACATTTCCTGTTTTTTCAATATTGGTAAGTACTTCTGAATTTTAAACAAACAGAACCCAATGAACCACACCTGTGGGTGGATGTGACCCTAGTGGTTTAAAATAGAGTATCTCCTGTTCAAAGCAACCATCAGGATTTCCTGGAGAAAATCCATCAGGTGTTTTCATCCACTGTCTAGAGTCAGAGTGTTCACAGGACAGGATGCTGCAGCAGGTGCCTGCTTGCTGACTTACAGCCTGTGCACTGAGAAGCACATGACTGATGAGCTGCAAAGGTGATGCAAAATGCTAATGAGCTTTAAACTGACACTGGGTAACACAGGCAAATTGATATCTCCTCTCAGATAATCCAAACACTTTTCATGCAGAATAGCAGGCAGGGATAAAGATGAAGTGATAACACTTCAGGGGCTTCACAAAATACCCCATTAATCTGGGCCATAAACCTACAACAAATTCCCACTTCTCTCTGAGAACAGGAACATACCACAACACTGAAAATACCAGGGGAAGTGTCCAAGTCCAAACAAATGAGTCAACATGTGTGCTACACAACTTGACTGCATTTCTGAGATGAGCTGCCTTTACCTTGATCTCCTCACTCTCCTTTCCCAAGTCCAGATCTGGAAGGAGGAAAAGGCCAGTCACAGAGCACAAATGAGTGGCTCATAATAGGAAGGGGCAAAATAGACCTTTAGATGGATGACTAGATAAAAGATTTCTTCCAGAAATGGTGGTAACAACAGTCCCAAAGTACCACCTTAAGCACGCCTTCTTCAGCAACTAACACATCAGTTCAACAAACACTGAGAGACCAATAATTCTAAAGGATGTAAGGAAACAGCATGAATGTCAGATCCTGTTCTATGCTCTACAAACACAGCACTAATAGCAGGAACTACCCTAAGAACTAGAAGTACAGCACAAAAGAAAACAAAGTCCCTGCACTCTTGCCTTCCATGCTGGAATATAAGAATGAATTCCTGAACCAATGTTACACATATTCTAGGTTAGAAGGAGCTCAGAAGTTTCACTTAGTGCTGAATGAGTTTTCCTTTCCACTGTTTTCATTCAATGTAAGCCATCCCTTACATTGGCTGCCAAGCTGACAAACACCATTCCAAGAGTCCTTCTTCACATAGACATACTTCATGGTGTCTGTGGCTATTTTTTTATTGGAGCCCTAGGTCTCCACAGAAGGAAAGAACTTAGAAGCTTTTGGAAAGGAGACAGGCTTAACCTGCTCATGCTTCTCAGACCACTTCCACTGTACTAGCATTGTTCTCTTATTACCAACTGACAGTCTTAAAACCATAAGCTTAAAATTATTACAAGAGCAGAAATTGTATGATGCCTACTGCACCACTCCTCCTATTACATCTGTTTATGCACAGACCCCACAGCATTTATTCACAGTGCCAACTCTACTCTGTGATCTCAAAAGAGTCATGACAACTCTGCAACCTTCTGAAGAGAAGGAATGGCTTATCTCCTTATACAGTCAAGTTTGGCATCCATCTTCATCATTCACCAAGATAGATTATAGACAACTGGCCATTCAGGTGTCTTCATTCTACTACTGACCCAAAATCTATGTCATGAAGTACATTTGAGAAGTTGTGCTGTCCTATATAATGGCGTGCATGAAAAGATAACACCTCATAAAATCATATAGGATCAGAGATGTCACAGACAAAAAGAACTTTCTGATGTATAAATCATCTACCAAAACCTATAATGTTTAGAAACTGCAATAGATTTGTCTGACTATCAGGTGTGCTTCATCCTAATAACCAGATTCCGGTGACCTCTCCCAGATCTATTGAATAAGGATTCCCTGAGGGAAATGGCAGGATGTCTGTTTTGTTAACATATGTACCTAATACATCTTCATTAGGAACATAAATATTTCATCACAGAAATGTCTATAAAATCAATAAACTGAAAAAAGGAAGACAAACTGGAACTTTAAAAGAGGAGGTTGTGTGTGAATTATCACTTTTCATTTGATTCTTATTTCTACTTTCTAACTCACTGTGGCCCCAAGCAATACTAATAAAGATTAATACAGGACACTGAATACTCCCAGACTAGAACTATGGGGGAGATCACTAGGTCAGACACAGACTCTCAACTCAGAGACCTCAGTTTAAATAGACATTAGTTTTTAAGTGCCCTTAAAATTAGACTGACCATCTGTACCACAGAAATGAATCCTGGAATTAATTAATTAGGTGCTCACATAGGCAGCAGATACTCTGGAGGCAAGGAATAAAAAAAGTTCCTATCTTATACTTGAGGAAACTAAGGTAAGTATCTACCACTTAGGGGAAAGCCCCAATAGGAAAGGGCTCAGACAGACATAAGATAGGTGGTAGATTGGAAAGGGGGACAGAAAGAGGATAGGAGAGTGTAGACATACACAGAGTGGGTGGGTAGACAGACAGACAGGAGGATGAATGGCAGAATAGATGCAGATTAAAAAATCTGTGCCGTAGCAATAAAATGTGCTCCAGCCATTTCTTAGGATGCCCACAACTCAGCCATCATCTTGCCCTTCTATTCTCAATGATCCAAAATCCACTGAGAAAACAAAACTCATCTATTTACCTTGAGCATATGCATATATACATATACATATACATATACATATACATATACATATACATATACATATTTTACAGCCCTAAGCACTCAAGAGAAAGAATTTTCTTTACATAAGAAAAAATAGAGAAAACAAGAGTTATTACTGGCACTTGAATCTACAGCATCAGAAAAATGGCAGTCCTTCAAACTCCATGTGTGGAAGAGCTCTTCACTTAGAGCTGAAAATGGGAAATTAATTTTCAAGTCTCTTGTCTAAGAGACAGCTTTTAAAAAGGTATTAACCTACATTTGGAGATTAATGCAAACACAGCCATCTTATTTTAGTGGGTACAATCCAACTTTTATTAAGACAAAGATAGATTCAGAGTAATTAAGAGCTTGTCCAATACCCAGAGTTTTATGACTCTAAATATTAGCGAAGCTGGCATTCTTACCAGCTGCTCCTCAGAGCTACAGCATTATAAATCCTCAGTGGTAATGAAACACCAGCTAAGAGGAGGTTGAATAAGTCTCATTTAAAAACCAGCCTTCCCATGGAGAACTACACTAACGTTAACATAATGTATAGCCCCTCTTAGAACACTAATAGAACTGGGGAAAGGTGAGCCTTTGGAGATTTGTTATTAAGCAATCATAAAGAAGATATAAACAAACCCCAGGAAGGGTTTTAACAATGTTGAAGGTTGAAAGGCTCCCTGTGCCCAAGTCCAGGAATTCCTTGTTGATTTGAGCATGAAAAGGACAGTACACCCACACTGTCCCACACTGTGCTAACAGTAGCTCACCTGTGAGACAAATCTCCAACACCACACACTGTTTAAACACAACAAAGCCAATGATATGGTAAGCACACAGACACACAGACACACAGACACACAGACACACACACACACACACACACACACACACACACACACACACACCTCAAAGATTTATCAAAATTTTCTATCAACAGAGTATTCTCTTCTGCTGCCCAAGTACATTTTTCAGTTTGGTGTTCTGTTTGATTTATTTTTGTAGACACTGCAACACCAGCCTGTCCTTCAATTCCTGGTACTCCTCCCATCCTCTCAACCTCCCATCCTCCTGCCTCAACCTCCCAAATGCCAGAATCACAGATCTACAGAGCAAGCACACCTAACCCAGTACTGTTTAATAGCTGTGACCTTGACTGCTCCATTCTCAAGGATCACTCAGCACTTTCCCACCAGGCTGAGTAGACATTCACTAGGTATCACCACAATACTGACAACTTGTCATCACTTTTCCAGGCTACATAAAATAATAATAAAAAAAAAACCTCATACAGATTTCTTCTGTACTTAGAAGGCCACCAGGGAATTAGCCACAGACTGACTACATTACAGCTGAAGAGAAGACTCCTCTCCAATGTCTCTTTAATCTGCTGCCCACTGAAATGCCAAGGACTGGCTATCAGCAACCATCACTGAATGGAAGTCTGTCCTATCTGCTCAGGGTAGCATGTTCTCAAGTCCCCCTGCCTGGACCACAGTCACTTACGTATACCCTAAAGGAATGAACAGATAACACAAGGAAAAGAGGTAAATGAAAACATATCAGAAAAGCCATCAACAGAAATCAAACTGACAAATATCATAGGCTCTATTCACAGCACTCACTAGTGGAAAGCCATACTGGAAAAATTGGCACTTGCCAATCTCTGTCCATAGCCACATGGCCCTGTGAGAAGCACTGTACTCTCTCTCTAAAGCATAAAACTCGTGGAATAAAAACGATGCCAGCTAGAAGAAAATAACAGATGCATCACACTTTTTGACTATTCAAAGAATAATGTCCGAATACAATAAATTTACTTTTAGTGAATTAAAAAAGTCACCAAAATGAACAAAGTGGTTTTGTCATTTTTTATTATTATTATTATTACAAGAGAAAAACTCTTCTTGACCATTACCATTTACAAAATCAAACTGGAAAGAAAACAAAATTGAAGGGCCTGGAAGGCAGCTCAGTCAGATTTAGAATTCTATTTAGATAAGAAGGTGTGTGACAAGTGCTCTACAGATACCCAAAAGCCGAAAAATCTCCAGCCATTGAATATAAAGCCCATGAAACATTTAAAACTCCATCTGTACAAAGCACTTGGATTCACAAATGAGAAATGGCAATTGAAAAGGCTCTGCAGAGTATAAATGCTACACAAATACTGGCTGTTAATAAAAATAACAACAGCTACTACTTGCCTGGCATTTGCCACGGGTCAGGTGGCACGCTGATCATGTCACATACATCTCCTTATTGAACTGAGCCACTCAACGATGTTACCCCCATTTATAACTAAGAAAATTAAGCTCAAGGAGATTAAATTACTCCACCAAGGCCATGCAAGTGACAGTGTAGATTTAATCAAGTCTTTCTGTGGAATACTGAGTTTTGAAGCCACTGAGGACAAGGCCACTACTTGATGCTCCTGTGATCTCTATTGTTGCCTGACCCCTGAAGGCTTTACCAAGTACTCAGATCTGGCTTTGACACTGCATTTCTGATGGGTAACTGTGACTTGCAAACCCAGATCTCTAATGTCTACAGATTATAGTGTCATTTTATTTCCAACATCCCAACAATCTCATATGGTCTGAAGCTACAAAGCCCTCCCTCCCCACCAAATAATAGTGTATACACTAACAATCAAACCTTACAGCTATTTGGTATGTTAAAAACTTCAGGCTGAGGTTCTTAATAGTGCACAGAATAAGGCTTAAATACATTTAGAATTTTTTTTCTCTGTGTATTAGTTCTTCTCATTTCAGCTTTATAAATGAGTGAACACAAGCTTGTAAACATTACAGGAAGCTGAGATAAGAATTCTTGATGTCTCATGCCTTTCCCAAGACTTAGGAACTCTTTTGTGGGAGCCTGAGTTCCTGGGGGATGCTTAAACAAATATTACCCATTGCTTACAAGGACTAAGAGCAAAGTACGATTCGACGAAAGTTTAATTTAAGGAACCAATGGGTTTATTGGTTGTATTTACAGAACATGGATGAGGGTTACTTACAGGCTTATGGGAGACCCCCCCCAAAGCAGTCTCACTACCAGAGTCTGACCCCAGCATGAATGACTACTTCCCCACAACTGCACAGACACAGTCCACCATTCAGTTAAAATTCCACAATCCCTATAGTCAACACTATGTGGGCCACATGCAAGTAAGGCAGAATTTCATAAATGGCCAAAATGTAGAGGAGAATGTGGGGGACATCAGGTAATATCCACCGACCTTCCCTATTGCCCTTATATGAGGAAACTGCAACAGCCAACATGCCAAATCTAGTGGCATACAAGTAGCCACAGTTGCTGTGATGGGTATGATGGCTGTTTTGCTCAGAAGACAGGCTGTACAACATTTCTACACACAGAAGATGATAAAGTGGGCATGTATATTAATATATATAATCATATATATAATGTATAACATAATTTATATATTAATATAATATAAATAGGCATTTAGGTGGATATGATTTCTTTTTATGAAACCAGAGAAATACCAGAGAGGAAAACAGA